ATGTAACCTACTCCTTTACAAATGGATCACTAACCTCAAATAACAGCACATCAAATATACACTGCTATCAGACTTTCAGAAGAATTTACAAAGTTGATCAAAACACAGATCACATCTGTTTGTGATTCCTCTAGCGTACCAAGAGTTTGTGGTAGGTATATTGTCATTACATATGAATAGCCGAGGCACCACAAGAAATTGCTCCTTATATTTATGTCCAACTAAGAAATTTTTAGAAATTCATTAAAACTCTCTCATAGCTACAAAATATTTGACTCTTACACTTGTTGAGGATCACATAAAATACTGGCTCTTCTGAGTTTTACAGCTGACATATATAAACTTGTGCAGACTTTCCTGAAAGAGAACTTAGAATATGTACAGAACGTTTCTCATGGAAAGGAGTTACTAAGCACAGGTAAACCCAGAGCAGCCTGGCTCCCCAACCTTGGCCTCTGCACTGCAATAACTATGCATTCCTTGTCATGCTTTGCGATCCAACCCTAGATACAAACATTTGGTAGAAAATGAATTCTCTCAATGTGCAAACGCTGGTCTCCATTTCCAATTCAAGACAAATCTTTTCTCGGAGAATAAATCTTAGTTTCCAGACCCAGACTTCAACGTGCACATAGAGCTTTTGAGGATGGTGTGAGAGAAGGCTACATAGCGAGCTCCCTCTTGGATGACAAGGATGCTCTGATCAGACAAGTGCTCAGACAAGAAGCACCAGCAGCAAGCACTGGGAACTGGCTAGAATCTGCCTGTTCCAATGTGATCAATAGCACACACCACTGTGGCTGGCTGAATGAATGACACAATAAATCCATAGTTCCTTTCTATGAATCCCAATCCCAACTCATTCATTCCCGTTTTGTTCTCAAGGCCTTCCACAATAAGTCACCCGTTTATCCTGCTTCTTCCTTTTAACCCCTGCCTAGGTCAGCAGCAGGCCAACCGAACCAGACTGTGTAAATCGATTTACAATTCCTTTTTTATTTTCACTGTTACTATCCATTGCACACGGTGCTGGGCTATATAAAGACATTTTCACACAGGTGCACATTATCCATTGAACACATTCTCTCTCTCTCTCTCTCTCTCTCTCTCTCTCTCTCTCTCTCTCTCTAATCCACCTTTCTTTCTTTTTCTCTTCAGGGACTGATAATTTTTACACAGATCTCTTCTAACCGTGACCTCCTGTTTTGATGGCTGTCACTGATGTTATCCTGAGCTGGCAGCATCTACTGCTCCCCTCTCTAGTCACCTTGCCTCATCTCTCAATGAGATGTCTTCTCACCATTCTTAGACCCGACTACCTCCCCGCTGGAAGAATTCTATTTCATTACAACGTTCACAACATTCGGATCTACGCAAGTTCTTTATACCTCTCCTATACAAGGACAGAGTCTTATGTCTGTTACTGGTTACAAGTTATTGGAGGGCAAGAGCTTTATTATCTTATATTACATAAGATATATCTTACATTACTTACTATAATTCCTCACTCAGATAATGCTAAATGAAAATCCATTAACATGCAGTTGGCCATTCATCATTGATAAATCCTAATGTTCCCACATCATAGATCCAAACTATGTTTCTAATCTTGGTTTGTTTTCTATTTTTGGAACCACAAAAAATTGGGCATACTGCTCTATTTGTGATTTTTTTCTAACTACTGCACCTAGAAAATTTTGTTTAACAATATCTAACACATATTTCCAGAACTTAAGTTATGAACTAATTCATTTGAAATTTTCACATGGAACAGGCCTTGGAAATATTCACTATAAGAAAAAACTACTCGGAAACCACTGCAAAATTCCACATGTGCGGGCAGGAAAGGCTCAAAGGTCGCACACGTCATCAACCTTGCAAAGCTGAGCCAAGCACAGGGCCAGAGTTAACTCTTGGACACTCGGGAAGACTCCAGGGTCCGAGGGGACAGCTATGTATATGTAAGAAATAAAGCTCATGTTAGCACAAAGGCAGGGACTGGCCAGGCCCTTACTACTGTCCACTCTAATGCATAAAATGTCCAGAGAGCAGGCATGAATTCACTTGTGAGTCAATGTAAAATAGTCTCTACTAAATTCTGAAGACAGATAAAGAACAGAAACTAGTTCTGAAAAATTATCAAAAATGAGCGAGCCCAGGTCACCATACCTAACACTGCTAACAAGGCAATGGCTAGATAGGTCGGCCATAGAGGAAAACCTACCATATGACTATTCTCCTAAATGGACATAGCATTAAAATGACTCCTAATGACTTATTGCCACACCCATAGATCAATGCACTGCTCAATTCTCATCACAGATGCTTCTTCTGGCAGTAGATGGCAATTAACACAGAGACCCAAGGCTGGTCTATGCACAGACAGTAAGCGGCTTTGGAGTGTGCAGCCCTAAACGGGACATCTACCTCATACCCAAAGCTCAGGGATCTATGCAGAAGACGGGGCAGAGGTGATAGAGGACTTCAAGGAAACAATGTCTTCTGGATACAACAGGGCAGACGCACATATGAACTCACAATGATTGTGACAGTGTGCACAGGTCTTGTTATGCATACTCAAGCCGGATGAAATCCCAACATGGAAGAGGGGAGGGTGGTCACAAAGTCCCAGTCCCAGCTGAGGCACTGCTGGCATGTGATCACTACTGAGACGTAGAGTTGTTTTTCTTTAACCGTGTGATACCTGGTATAGTGACCACACTCCAGGGCAGGCCCCAGGCCCGGGAGTAACTGGTCAACACAACCGGACTCAGTAAGTTTTTAAAAAGGCAGGAGATTTTTTCTCTGAAACTTTGCAACTTAAAATCTTTTCTTTGGAACATGAAAAGACATGCAACCTCCCGAGTTACATATGCAGCTCATAGATGCTTTAAAGCACTATTTTCCAATATCAAGTTATATATTCATAATGCAGAGCTTGCTATTCACGTTCAAGCAACAGTCCTGCATGTCTGTGCTTTGTGTGTTTACATTACTCTAGGACTTATTTGTAACCTTTTGATAAAGCGGTATCTACAAAGATTCCTCAAATATTTAATAAACAAGACAAAGCAATCACTGTGAAAATGATGCAACTTGAGCTTTTCACCTTTCATTCTACGCATTTCATATCAGCCATACAATTTCCTGTTCTTATGAACAAGAAAATGTTTAAAATTTATATAAGTAATTTGGGATTTATAGATTTTATGAACTAGAACATCAACTACAAGAAACGAAACTAACATTGTTATTTCTGCATGTCCCCACCTCCTCAGGAGACTGAGGAGAAGAGAAAAAGAGAAGGCTGTCATCGATGGTATGGTGTACATATTGTTACTCACACACAAGTTTGTTTTTATGCATGCTTAAGATGGAATTTGAGCTTTTGGATGGTAACTATTTGTAATACAAGCCATTTTCATCTCAGTTAACTTTAAAAATAAGCATTCTGAACAACAACAAAAAAAGGCAGGGAAGAGAACATGAAGTTGGGTGAGTAGGAAGGTGGAGAACGACCTGGGAAGAGTTGGGGGAGAAAGATAAAGATGATCAAAATGCACTGTATGAAATTCTTGAAGAACGAGCAAGAAATATTATTAAATAAAATAAGCCCAGATCAACAAGCTGACAAATGGGTAGAGAGTGAGATGGGTGCTTACACAACATATGGAATGGGGCTCAGCATCAGTGTCTGGAAAACCAAACTAATTGCTGCTGGGCATGATGGCGCATGCCCGAAATCCCAGTACCCAGGAAGCTGAGGCAAGAGGATTGTGGGTGGATTCAAGGCCAGCTTGGGATTCACAGAGACCCTAGGTCAAAAAACAAAACAAAATAAAACAAAAAACCAAGGGCTGGGGAGAGCAGTGGAACCAATGCATAATCTGAGCAAAGCCATCGTTTCGATCTCCAGTGTTAGAGAAAAGAGCAAGAATTAAAGAAAAAAAAAAAAATCCCTGATACATGCTTTACTTGAAAACTGCTAAGACCACACTGAGCAGCCTACTGGGGGGAAAATAACCCATATATATATATATATATATTAGAAATCCCGGCAAATGGTATTTAAGATCTGATAATTAACTTTCCTCCCTTTAAAGATCACACACATGCTTAGAGAAGGAGGAGGGTGACGATGGGGTGCCTGGTGACGGCGGTTAGGGCAGGCCAAATCGTAACGCCTCAGGAAATGCTAACACGTTACTGTACTTGGCAGAAAGGAAGGTGCACTTATGGTTCTGTACGGATGCTGAGACCACTGGAGAGGAGACTGCGGGTTAGGGAGGGCCAAGGTGTCATCTACGTGGAAGGGAAGACCACAAAAAACGAGGCCGGAACGATGAGAGAGACTCAGTCACCCACTCCTGATGGTGGCAGAGGCCATGAGTCAAGGAAGAAGGAGCTTCTAACAACAGAGCCTTCTCTGGGAGAGAATGTAGCTCTGCTGACCTGTGATTTTACCATACCAAACTGTCATAAAACAAATTTATGTAAATCATGCCAGCAGTTGCTAAGGCAATAACAGGAGATCATGACAAAGTTAAACAGCTATGGAGAGAATACTTGGGCGGAGGGTACTGTAGCTCAGTGGTACAGCACTTGCATAAAACCCTATAAAAATAAAAAAATGAGAATTCTCAAAGGCAAACAGAGATGACTGTGACAGTGTAGTATGATGCTCTAGAAAATACTTAGCACAGTTGTTGAGCTTTCCTTTGCATTGCTGACAAAGTGTATGCGCTTCTGGAAAGCTGGCACACAGCCTCAGGTGAGACCTATCACTCCAGTTCATAAAAGGGACCAAGCATAAACACCATAAATACTCTAATCAACAAGTAGGTTAGGAAACAGAACAGAACAAGGTGTTCTTAACCGCATGCAAAGTAGCGGGAAACTGAGTCAGTTTTGCATGTTTAAAAAGGACACTGGGATGGTACCCTTATCAGAAGACCAGCCAAAAGGCAAAGCTCGGTGTTTGCCTTCAGGTTCCTATTTACCTGATGATCCTCTGGGCGGCATACTGATGGAGGGAGCGGAACTGCGCAGACATGTTTGCTAAGGCTGCCAGACAATTTGTGTGCAGGTACTTGTCCTGTGGGGAGAGCAAATTCAAAACACACATCGTGTCTTCTTCATGCTCCAAGGAAGGCTAGCTAAAAGCAAATGTACACCCCGCTAATGTTAGAAAAGTGCCCAGGATCTATATTCTCCAGTTCCCAAATTGACAAAGCACTGAGAAGTCGGAGTGTTCCCACAGTTCATTTAGAAGCAATGGGCATGAAATGCGATGATACAGATGCTCATTCCCATCATGTAAAAATGAGATCATCTGTAGCAGAAACAGTGGTGCTTCTGCCGTGGGCTGCTCTGGACCCCCTCCGCCACACACAGCAGAGTGTACGCTTCCATCTTTCTAAAACACAAGTTCTTCTCCCTCCTAAACCATAACTGCCAACTATGATCTCAGATAAAAAACAATGGGGTATACATTTATCCCAGCCCCAGAGAGAGAAATACAAGAAAACATTAAGTAAATAAACAACCTTTTAGCTGTGGATTCTGTACATTGCTTTCCTTGGTAACACATTTCTACTGACTAAGACTGAAATTTTGCAGAATTCAGCCGAATTATTTTTTCCCAACTTTTCAAGAACTCTTGTACTTTGGGGGATTGTTTTTCTTTGTTTTGAAGACAAGAGCTCACGTAGTTCAGGCTGGTCTCAAATCTGCTATGTATGCTGGACATGATGGCACACGTCTTTAATTCCAGTACTAGGGAAGCAGAGGCAGGTGAATCTCTGTGAATCAAGGCCAGTCAGGCCGACATAGCCAGTTACAGGCCAGCCAGGGCTACATAGTAATTTCCTGTCTCAACCAAACAAGAGTGCTATATGTAGTTGAGGATGACCTTGAAAGTGCCTGGCATGTACTTCCGTGTTTGGTTTATGAGTGCTGTGGCGAGAGCCCAGGGCTCTGTGAGTGCCAGCTGCTGCTGCCAGCTGAGCAACAACCCCGGTCGGTTCTTGTACTTTTCTTCCCGGTCTGGATTTGTATTTCTGCATATTCACCTATTGATATTTTTTGTTGTTGCTTTAAAAGGGCACACCAGTGTTGTCAGTGAAGCAAGGGCATCAGCAGCTTTGACCTCACTGCTTGTGAGGTCACTGCTTGTCTCACTGCTTGCTCTCCATTTCATACGAAGCACACTGCGTCAAACAACTAGGACCAGTACTAAGAAGCAGACAGAGCAGTACAGTCATGCAATGTGGTAAGTGTTCTAGCATAGTCTATGGGAATAAATTTAAACTTCCTAGCACATTTCATAACTACATTTCACGGGACTAAAATGTTTCACAACATGGTCTTAACAACATAAAGGCAGAGAAACAGCTTTGGGATACTTACTCTAGTCCTGGTCATATTGTATTGTATGGTTCTTATTACGACCAAAATTAGGAGACTCCCCAGGGAAATTTCAGTTAAGACTCGTTCTGAATACCAAGTAATGTTTTTTAATATCTGCAATAAGGAAGAAAAGTTTGAGTAAAAATGACTCCATTAGGAAGAAGGTGTGTCACCCATTTCCTGGTAAATTTCGTTTTGCTCTAAAGGTAAGTGAAGCAGTAAAGAGTGAGTGGAGAGCTTCAGTTCTACCAAGCAAAGGGCACTAACAGGTTTACTCCTCTTCTCTTAAACAGATGAGGGAGAGAAAACCAAGTCTGCAAATCAGGAGGTTATCTACTAATGTCATTAGTAGACAGAGAGGAGATGTGTGTATCTAATAATATCAGTAGACAAAGACGATATCTACTGATGTCATTAGCAGACAGAGAGGATATGTGCATATCTACTAATGTCATTAGTAGACAAAGAGGAGATGT